AAACTCATGAAACTGAACGCTCAAAATGTATGCATTTTATTATAGGTAAATAAAGTTGAAAAAAAGCAACCCAGGCGAGCTGAACTGAAACCCACACTTGGAACTATAATGCCCTGTGTCTCCTGAGGTCTACCCAAGTGCACAGAAGGTGAGTTGTGAGCACTTGGGGCCCTTTTGAGGAAGAGAAAGGGCTATGGTTCTTTAGAATTGATTGCCCGCTGCCACAGGGGAAGGAAGCAGCCTGCTTTCCTCTGCCTTACTGCCCCCCATCACCCCAGGCTCTCTGTGGCTTTCCCTGTAACCTGAGGAACTGACCTCCCCAGGGGTGTCTAGTCTCTTGCTGGGGGTCTTCTCTGACTCTTCCAAAAGCAGGCATTTTACAGTGTCCTCAAGCAGTGAGTCAGGAGCCCCCAGAGTTTCCCTGCACCTTTCGGGGCCAAGCTTGGAACCTCTTTTACCTACCACCCTGGGGACTGGTGGTGGCTCTCCCGCACAGCAGGAGAGAGTGTGGGCAGACTGCTCTGGGCTTACCCACCCAGGGGTCTCGAGAGTGTTGAGGAGGGGCTGGCCGGTCAGGCGAAAGGCTAGTGTGCCAGTGCTCCAGGCCCTCCTCTCAGTTGCTGTTATGATCAATTATGTATTGAATGTCTGTTAAGTGCTAGGCTTTGCGTTAAGCCCCAAGCCTGCATTTCCTCTGTTAATCCTCCAGACCCAGGCCCTGTGAGGCCTGAGCTCCTGCTGCCCTCATTTTACAGATGAGGATGTTGAGGTACAGAGGAAGTCAGTAGGGATGCACAGCTAGCGGCTGGAAGGAAGGCTGATGGCCGTCAGTGCTGTCGATTTCCCAGCAATCATTGCACCAGCTCCATCTGAATTCCTTGCAGGGTTTTAAAAAGATACAGATTCCTAGGGGGACAGCAGGTGGCATGTTGATTAAGGTGACTGGATTCCCATATGGTCGACTGTCGTTCAAGTCCTGGACCTGGTGGCTTGAAAATCACACTGGATATGCATGTGCGTGTGTCCAAAATCCCAGGGGAATGGAGGAGAAGGGATTATGATGTGGCCACCCACTGTGTGTAGTGGGGGTGATTTCTCACTTTCCCTTTCTCTGTTTCTCTCTGTCTCTCTCCACTCTGGTGAGCACATACACTCTGTGGCAAAAACGTTCCTGGGCCTTTGCTTTGTCCTATTTCTTCTAGATTCCCAGGAGGTTTACCAGGTAGAGGATAAGCTCTGCCCTCTGCACGGGTCTCTGGGCTGTGACCCTCTCCCTGCTGCCCTTGCAACCCCTGAACTGCTCGCTGGGCTTCCTGGGGTTGGGCACAGTGCCAATGCCAGTCTACCTGACTGAGGAGCGGGGACAGGATCAAACTTGGTCAGGACCGGCTGGGGCTGGGGGGCCGGCTGAGAAATGAGATCTACGAATAACAGCAAATTGCTCATTGATTTCTATCCTGTTTGGGGGAGCCCTGGGACCAGCAGGGCTGGTTTGGGTTTGAACTGGAGAAGTGGGAAGGGCAGCTCAGCTTCAGGCGGTGTGTGGGAGTGTCAGGGCGCAGGACACCAGGCCTTGGATGTGGTCCTGTGGGAATGGTCCTTCCTCCATCTAACCCTGGGGCAAGTCCGGGAGATGGCCTCAGAATCTAACTGGAATGAGCCCCAGGTGGCAATGGGCTAGGACAATGCAGCAGGAAAAGGCTCCACCAGGGCCAGCTGGCGGTGTGGTGGTGAAGGCAGCTCAATCCTACGTGACTAACTGCATGATTCGCGTCCTGAACCCCGCAGCTGGGCCCATGTGTGTGCGTGTGCAAACCTCAATAGGAGAATGAGGAGAGGGGATTGCGGCATGGCTAACCACCCTAGGGGGTGATTTCTTTCTCTCCCTCTCTTGCATGTTCACACACAAGCACATGCGCCCTATAGCAAATTAAACATTTTAAAAATTTAAGAAAAAAAAGCTATACCACCAAAAACGCCTGCACTTTCAAGATAACCCATATTTCAAATTAACTTCCCTTTAAGCACACATGACCAGCCACACCACGGGCTCAGCTCTGGGAATGGAAAAATAATCTTTTTGCCTTGAAAAGACATTCGAGAGGCCTCCACCCACCTCTCCCCCAGCTTCTCCCATATTCTGTCTGCACCCTCAGATCCTTGGAGTTGGTTACCTGTCCTCCATGCCCCGACGCCCCACCATGTCCCCTCTGTGCCTTTGCATAAGCTGTTCCCTCTGCCTGCAATGCCTTCTCCCCTTTGTCTCCATATACCCACGTCCTGTGCCATCCTGGAGCTCCACACAAACTCCTGCCTCCGGCTGAGGACTCTAGCTGTCTGTGACCTCTGGTTTCTTCTCAAAGTGCTGCCATTTGTCCCGTGCAGCCTCACTCCTGCTATCTTCTTGGAGCGTGCGTGTGCGCGCGTGTGTATGTGTGTGTGTGTGTGTGTGTATGGGTATGGGTGTGGGCGTGCCTGCAGGTGGAGCTCAGTGAACACTCCTGTGGGTTATTGGGCAACAGACCCATGTCCTCCACTGGTCGGGAAGGGCCTTCCCAGCAAGGGCTCATCTTTTTTTCTTTAATTTTTTTTTTGCCTGAGGGCATGTGCACTCACCAGAGGGGCGGGGGTGGGGGGGGAGAAGGAGTAAGTATTCCTCATGGAAAACGGTCACTCCACAATCCCTTCTCCTCCATTTCTCCCTCCTTTCAGGATGTTGGGCACGCACGTATGCCCAGCCTGTGTTTCAAGCCTCCAGGTCTGGAACTCAAACCACACAGTCAGCCACATGGGATCCCACTGCCTTAACCAACTACCACACCACAGGCCAGCCCAAGAGCCCCATTTTTTTTAAAATTTAACTTTTTATTTAGTTATTATTTGCCCATTGAAGGGCAGAGTAAGAAAGAAAGAGAGAAAGTGAGAAAGCAAGCCGCCAGGTCTGGGACTTGAACTGTGGTCGGCCATGTGGGAGTCCAGTGCCCTTAACCACCACACCACCTGCCTGCCCCAGGAGCCCCATCTTAACCCTCACCCTCAGCCCCACAGGAGACACCACGGGACGCAGTTGCTGCCTGGTCAGCCTTAGACTCACAGCTTTGCAGACTCCCAAAGCCGGAAGGCTCCACAGAGTTGTCTCCTTCCCAACATTCAGAAAGTTCTTGCGTGGACGGTGTTTGCCTCACTCTAGGCGTCTCTGTGCCATCATCCAGAGGTAGCAGGTACAAAGGGTGAGGGGAATCTTGACTTCTGTTCTTCTTCCCATCTCCTCCATCTCCACTTCCTCCAGCTCCCCAAGCCCCTTACACTTCCCTCATCTGTCTTCTGTCCTGAGCCAGCGGCTCTGGGCAGCTTTCTAGCACCCTTGCTCACTCCCCTTCATGCCATGATGTGAGCGTTCTCTGCGCCCATCACACAGGCAGATGGTGATTCTCCAGGGGTCCCCCAGGTGGAGCTAGAGAGCAGAAAGGGGTCCAGAGTCCAGGAGAAGGCATTGCCTTTGGGCTCAGCCTTGTTTTAGCTCTGGGCAAGTTACGGGAGACCTGTGGTGGTGCCCACGAATTACAGGCAGCCTGTGGCTGTGCCCAGAGAAGAGGGAGCCCAGAGATAACCCGTCAGGGAGCCTCCTCATTGGAATGATGGGGAAACTGAAGCCTGGAGAAGGGACATGATTTGGCCCTGGTTTGTCAGAGTCAAATCCAGGAGCCAGTTTCCCACTGGGCATATGGGATCTCTGCCTCCCAACCCTGAGGGGAGCACCAGGCCAGAGCTTCTAGAGATACAGTGATTTCCTGTCACTCGGACCCTAGGCCCAGAGCAGCTGCTCCCACATCTAATTAATGGCTCTGGTTCCAAGTCCTTGATGGAGGGGATTATGAGCCATGCCTCTACTCAGGTCTCCGTGGAGCTTTCCGTTAAGCAGGCGCAGCCAGGGGTGTCGGGAGGAGCTGGGGCTGTGCACAGGGCCGGCAGGCTGGGATCTGCACCCGCGTCCTCTCGTCCTCCTCACTGCCTTTCTGTCCCTTAGCTCCCCGTAGCCTCCTTTCCTCAGCCCGGGCCACTGAGCCTCCTTGCCCTTAGAGGTCTTCTTGTTATCCTCCAGCTCATCCCATTGTCTGTCCCTTCTCAGAGCCTTCCCCTGCTCCCTTCACCTGGAACCTCCACCCCTAGCCTGGCTCCAGGAGGGGACTGGGCAGAAGGGCTCGTTCTCCCACCTACAGCTCACACCAAAAGAGATCTTAGGACCTTTCTTGTGAGATCAGCCCAGAGCCACAGCCCTCCACGGATTGTCACTCTTAGCAACTAACACCCGGCTTGAGGATGAAGGGATCAGAGAGGCGATCAGCCAACAGCAGCCAGACTTCTCTGAGGACAGTCCAGGGGCAGTGGGAAAAGTCCTTCCCACCCACACTCTGGTCAGTACTGTCTGGTAGGAGTAGTCAGATGGAGATAGAATCCCAGTAGCTCTACCACTGGCCAGCGGGATGAGTCCAAGGAGGAAGTTTGGGTTAGTCCCAGTCAGGCCAGGGCAGTCTAGCTATGACTAGCAACCCCTTGAAGGGTTGTCACTAAAGCACTGGGGTCCAGCAGGAGGTGACAGGTGGTGGCCAATGACTTGGGGGAGGGGGTCTTTGTATAGATGGTGAGTAGAGAGTGGTTGGGGATGGTTCATCTGGGGTGGTCAGTTTGGGAAGGTCTGTAGTGAAGATTGTTGCTGGACATTGATTGTAGAGATGTTGCTGATGGGTGGCCCATGTTGGCAGTTGGTGTAGGGAGAGCATTATAAGAGGTTGTATCAGACTGTTGATGAAGAATCATCAGGGGTAGCTGGTCGGTGATGGATGGGTGGGTGGACATTGGCTAGTTAGTTGAGCGTCAGTCATTGGTGTTAGGAGGTTTGGGTGGTCAATGGGTGGTCCATGTTTTGGAGGATGGACAACCTTGCCTTGCCAATGTTATGAGGTGGATATTTGGAGGTTAGGATAAGGTGAGCAGTCTCCATGCCTCTAAGGCATGGCACTTCCACCACCTGCATGGTGCCTGATGAGATGCAAGCAGCACGGAGCTCAGCCCTAGGTTTCCTGTACCACGTCTTCCTCCAGATCCAGGCTACTTGTTCCTTGATCAGCCAAAGCAAAGCTGTGTGGGGAAAGGGTGAGGTCTTGGTCTCCTGGGACCCTGGGAGGTGGGAATAAGGACCAGGTCCCTAGAATGCATGGGGTATGGGGCATGGGCATGAGGGATGGAGTGAGCAGGGAGCCTAAGTGCTTAGGGATGCAGCACAGCTCCTCAGGGGATGGGGACCGTGAGGCCAGGATGCTCATTGATGAATCGATTCCCATTATTGATGCTGCCTGGAGAAGTTTTGAAAGACGGAGCTAAGGGAGAGGATTGGGTTCTCTTAGAGAAAGCCATGGCATAACCTGGCCACTCAGAATACAAATGAGACCATCTGCTTGCCAGCCCTTTACAGCCGCCCCCTGCAGTGCTGGGGGAGGTGGGGGCATGTAAGGAGCAGCAGGCGTGGGTGTCAGGAGGCCCAGGGGAGGCAGGGAACTTGGATGGACACCCCAGCACTGAGCCAGCAGCAGATTTGCAGGCAGATGTGCCGGGAGGACCAGGTTCGTGTGGGACAGTCACAGGGAGGTGGGTTTTTCAGAAAGTAGCCTGTTTTCCACAGAGGCAGCTCCCTACTTCAAGTGCCCTGGACTGAGAGTGTCTAGCCAGAGCCTGAGAACCACCCAAGATGGTCTCGGATCAGCCAGATAGCACCATGGTTAAGGCAGCCGGATCCCACACGGCCGACTATGCAGTTTGAGCCCCAGACCTGGTGGTTGAAAACCACACCGGGTACATGTGCCTGTGTGCCCGAAATCCCAAGAGGAGAATGGAGAAGAAGGGATTGTGGTGTGGCCATCTCCCCTGGGGGTGATTTTTCACTTTCCTCTCTCTCTGTCTCCACCTGTCTCTGTCTGGTGAGCATACATGTCCTATAGCAAACTAAAATAAATAAATAGACAAAGAACTAAAGTAGAATGTAGATGGATTTAAAAAAAAAAATCTATGAGGCACTCTTCTCCCCCTCTCCTACCAGCCCTGGCTAGATTGTCACGAGGAGTCCCACTGGTAGTGCCCAGCCAGGGACCTACAGATGCTTACCATGAAGGGCAAGGGGGCACTGCTGTGATGACCATGGCTAAGGGGCCAGACAGAGGGAAGGGGCCTGGCTGGGCAGAGCTGGATCTGTCTGACAGCAGATCGTTATAGAGAAAATCTCGTGGGCCCCAGGCCCAGGCCCACTCCCAGGCAGGAGTCAGGAAGGGACGGGTAACACTGTTGTGAGGTAAGGATGGGTTTTGAGGAGGGGGATGTTCAAGGTGGAGCCAATGCTAGAGCTACCATGGCCACCAGAACATACGGCAGAGGCTGAGGGGGACAATCTGATGGGGGAGGCCCGATCTCTGCCTTAGGAGCATGCTCAGTCTAATGGGAGATGCTCAGCCCTGCCCTGGGAGCCCCAGTGTGACAGAGAAACACAGCCCTTGCCTTGGGAGCCCTTGAGTTTAAAGAGGGAGACAATGCCTACCCCAAGAGTGTGTCCATTGCTTGAGGAGAAAACAAGAGGCAGGTTGTCCGATTAGAACAGATGTGCTGGGAGACGGGACCTGAGCGTGGCTCCAGGCCCACGGCTGAAATGGACTGAGACCCAGGCACGCTGACTTCCTGCCTCCAACTTTCCACTGCTGGCCTAAATTCACCCGCGCTGGCTGTGACTGTCCCCACCCTTTGCGCGCTGCTCAGGGTCCACTCTGTCTCTGATGAATTATTGAAGATGCTCAAAGCAGTAGGCGGTCAGACCTGCTGCTCCCTAGCAGAGACAGAGTTCTCCAGGTGCGCACCCATCCATCGTGCACCTGTGCACACACCATGTGCACTCGGGCTCCATGTCCTCCCAGGGAGGCTGCCTTGTCTGCCTCGCCCCTGCACCCAAGCACCCCAGCAGCCCGTCCACAGGGAGCCTCCCAGCAGACTTAGGCTCAGAAGATACACAACCCCCTCTGCGTCAGACCTGGATCCTGAGCCCAGCTGCGGCAACAACTTGTGTGTGACTTTGGACAAGTCCCTTTCCCTCTGTCCCTCAAGACAAGGCGTGGGTGGGACCTAATGGCCTCCCTGTCCCTACAAGCACTGACCCCCTCTGAACAGAAGGAGCGATTAAGAGTAGTCTCTGGGGAACCAGCAGTGAGCGTAATGGCTATGTCACTGGACTCCCACATAGTCGACCACGGTTCACGTCCCGGACCCGGTGGCTTAAAACCCACGCCGGGCGCGTGTGCGTGCGTGCTCAAGATCCCGAGAGGAGAATGGAGGAGAAGGGATTGTGGTGTGGCCATCTCCTCTGGGGGGTGATTTCTCGCTTTCTGTCTCTCTGTCTCTCTCTGTCTTTCTGGCGAGTGCACGCGCCCGATAGTGAAAAACCTCTCAAAAAAAAAAAAAAAAAAAAAAAAAAAAAAAAAAGAAGCTCCTGCTTAGGGGGGAGGGCCCGCGCCCGATAGTGAAAACCCTCTAAAAAAAAAAAAAAACAAAAACAAAAAAACAAGAGTAGTCTCTGCTTAAGGGTTCATTATTTAGCCACCTGTGACCACAGGCTACAGTTTCACTTCCTGGAGAATTCGTTCCTTATAAAATGGGCACCCGAGTCGAACCTGCCTCCTGGGTTGTCGTGAAGAGCCAATGAGATGAAGCCAGTGAGGTGCTCGCTGAGGGCCTGGCACATGGTGCGTGCGTGTGAAATGCTCCGTGGTCATCGCGACTGTGATGTCCTCCCAGGGCGCTCGAGTCTTTGACAGTCTTCCTCTGGACCGCACTCCCCCTTCTCCAGGCGACTGTGCCTCAGCTGGCCTTCTGCTCAATCCCTGTCCCGTATCATCAGCTCCCACACAGCCTACCACCCCATTTCTGTAAATGCCACCTTCCCATGGCCCCCCTTCCCTCAGACCAGGCTGCGGAGCCCCCTCCCTGTACACTCACAACCACTCAGAGGCCCTCCCCACCAGCCCCCCTCTCCTCCAATTATGTAGAGCAAACAAGAGCAGCTGATGGGAAAGGAGTTGCTATTAGCTTAACCTTTCGGGACTGGAGCTGCTGGGACGCGATGGGGAGGCCCAGGGGGAGGGGCTCCTAGAGCAGGTGGGGCTGGGGGAGGGAGGCAGAGGAAGGAGGTGGAGGAGGCCGCTTGCTCCGAGTGACTCATGGGGAGGATGCAGGCCCAAAAAAGCAAGAAAGGATCAGAGAAGGAAAAGGAGAGACAGAAGTGGAATCAAGGAGGCCGGAACAAAGAACTAGGTGTGGACAGGTGGGCGGCAGAGGGAAGGTTGGGAAAGAAAGCCCCAGGCAGCTGCGCAGCGAGCGCCTTGCTCCGCACAGCAGCCCAGCACCTTGCACACAGTAGGCTGGCTGGACAGGTTTACTCCATCTGGTACTCTGAGCATCGTAGAATGTATGAGACCTCAGACACCACCTGGCCCAGCTCTCTCACTTTACAGATGGAGAAACTGAGCCCCAGAGGAGGGCTTTGGCTTTCCCAAAGTCATAGTGAAGGCTGGCAAAAACTGGGTGAATTTCAGGCCCCTAACCCACGACCCTGAGCTCTTCCCTCTACATCATGTCTCATCCACTCTCCTACCCACCCACCCATCCACCCATTCCCCCTCCTTCCCATATATCCGTCCACCCACACATCCACCCATCCAATCATCCACCCATTCCCCCTTCCCTCCATCTATCCGTCCATCCACACATCCATCCATCTCCCCACCCCCACTCCCTCATCCATCCATCCACCCACCCAGCCAGCCAGCATCCATCCATTTCCCCCACTCCCCCATCCATCCATCTATCCAATCACTCCAGGGACACGACCTCTTGCTCAGCCAGAGCTGGGTAAGCAAGCCAGGTTCCCAGCCTGGAGGAGTGCAGATCTGGTAGGAGTTGATTCATGTAAATAAGGAAACAACACGGGATGGAGAGAGAACCAACAGAAAGACAAAGTTCCCGATGGGTATGACACATGATTGCCTCACCTCGGTAAACTTATTATTAAAGTGTGTCAAGGGGCTGGCAGTGGCGTGGAGGTTAAGGTAACTGGATTCCACATGGGAGACTGCATGGTTTGGGTCCTGGACCCAGCAGCTTGAAAACACACTGGAGGCATGTGCATGTGTGCCCAAAATCCCAAGAGGAGAATGGAGGAGAAGGGAGTGCAGCACAGCCATCCTCCTGGAGGGTGATTTCTCACATTCCTCCCTTTCTCTCTCTCTGCAGAGAGCACACACGCCCTATAGTGAAAACTAAAAGAATAAAAATAAAATGTGTCAATACCAACAGTGGACAAATATCTCCTTCTGCATGAATCAAGAAGGCTTGGGGGTGGGGGGGGAGAGGAGGGCAGCTAATGGTGTAGTGGTTACGTCATTGGACTTCCACATGGCTGACCGCTATTCAAGTCCCGGACCTAGTGGTTTGAAACTCATGCTGGGTGTGTGCATGTGCATGCCCAAGATCCCAGGAGGAGAAGGGATTGAGGCATGGCCATCCCTCCCGGGAGGGAGGGGGAGAGGTGATTTCTTACTTTCCCTCTCACTGTCTCCCTTGCTCTCTCTCTCTCTCTCTCTTTTTTAATAACTTATTTAATTTATATTTATTCATTCATGTTTATTTTAATTTGACCAGAGAGAGACACACACACAGAGAGAGAGAGAGGAAGAAAGTGAGAAAGCAAGCCACCAGGTCCAGAACTTGAACCATGGTTGGCCATGTGGGAATGTCCAGTGCCCTAATCATAATGCCACCTGCTGGTCCCTCTTGCTCTCTCTTTTTAGTGAGCACATGCACCCCAAAGCAAAAACCTTTAAAAAAAGAAGAAGAAGAAGAAGGCTTCAGAGAGGAGGTGACTTTGATCTGAGCTTACAGGATAAATTGGAGAAAGCTGCGACCATTGCAATTTTCCCAGCAGAGCCAGGCTAGGAAGCTGGGAGAAGCTGGGGGTTCATAGAGGCTTGGCTGGACTGTCCCCCCCCTCCTTTGTTCTCCTATGTTCTAGGAGAGAGGATGAAGCAAGCATGCAAGCGGGTAGAGAAGGGACCCTGACCATAAGCTGGTCTTTCCTTCCGAGGTGAGAGGGGTGGTGGATGAGGCGGGCCCTGTGAAATTGGTCAGGAGCTGTGGAGGGGTGGCAGGGTCGTCAGGGTACCAGAGAGGGCCGCTGCCTTTCTTTCTGCTCCCATCCGTGTCTCATCCCCAGCTAGCCAGGAAAGGGGAGCAGTGGGCTCTGAGGCCTGGGTGAGAGTCCTCCGCCTGACCTCCGGTTGGCGCCATGGCCCTCAACCTCTGTCCCACTCGGGGCTCAGGAAGGTAATGGGGCTGGGGAGGATGGGGAGACCTGACTCACACTTAGCCCACAGCCTCGTCGAGACAGCAAGGAATATTTTTAGGAGCTCATTAAACAGGGAAGAAAGAAAGGGAAGGGAAGGAAGGAAGACGAGGATTATGCATTATTTTTCATCCAAGTGACAGCTCTGAGCATCTCTACTGGAACTGTCATGCAAAAGAAATGGCATGTCTAATATTATTATGGAACGGGAGTGCACGAGTGCGTGTGTGAGTGCGTGTGCCATCGGCGTGCAGCTCTGTGGGGTGGGGGTCCCAGGTGAGCCCTTGCGTGGGACCCTGGGCGAGGGTGCCTGTATGCACTAGCAGCAGTGAGGCGGCTGGGCGTGCAGCTGTGTGTGTGCACCGGGAGCCCACGACTGGAACCGTGGGAGAAACTGCGAAACTGTGTGTAATGGGGCGTGCAGACTGTGTACAACTCTGTGTAATTGGGTGTGTGTAACTCAGAGTGCGTGAGACATTGCGGGAAAGCTGGTACCCCCCGGAGCCGGGGCCACGGAACAGCAGGTGAGGGAGCAATCAGAGTGTGTGGCTATGGGGGGAGCTCGCGGCGGGGCGAGGGGTGCAGAGATGATTCGGTCAGCCCCCGAGACTGTGGGATGAGGGAGGGGGAAGGGGGACACTAGGTCCACTTGGCCTTGGCCTGGAGGGAAGGGAACAGTAGCCAGAGCCCCCCAGCCTACACGCTCGCACGCTGTTCTCTTGCCTGACCTAGCTGCCATGGGGCAGGAAGGACACTGCTGTGAGTTCAGATCCTCTTCCCTGAGCTCCAGCTATTTGGTAGGCACATCACAAAGGCCATCTCACTGAATTCGCAGGACCCTGGAGAGGTAGGTGCTGTTAGGGCCCTCTTTGATGAGTAAAGTGGCCATGAGAGGACAGACTCCAGTAAAAAACGCCCCCACGTCACAGAAGCCAGCAGGGGACGAAGCTGAGACTTGAACCTGGATTTCCATGTGGCTTCTGCTTCCAGCGGTGGGGGGCAGTGGGGGGTGGGGGGATTGAGAGCTGAGCACAGGGAGCATAATCAGAGGTGTGGGATTTGGCATGCCTTCCAAGGCTTCTTTAGGGTTCTGAGGGGGAGCGGGTTACCTAGGCACCCAGTTTGTGAGGAGAAGGGGTATAGGGGGACTCTGGAGAGCTGGGAGGTCCTGGAGAGTCCAGTCAGGAGGGGAACAGAGATTCGCTTCTGTCAGCGGCTGAGCTGCAGCGCGGGCCCTGCCGACTCGGTAACTAAAGCCAACCTCATAAGTGGCTAATTGATTTCTGTTCCCTGATTAAATGTGCAGCACTTTACATGGCAGCAGAAGGAGGTCAGCGCTCCCCCCACTTCTCCAGCGCCGCGTGCGGAGAGACAAAGAAATTGATTTTCCAATCGATGCTCTGAGCAATGATTAAATGTTCTCTGCACAGCGGGCCTAATGAGTCCCCGAGGGGCGTGCCGGCCCTTTAATTAGAGACTCCCATGGGGGCCTGGGATAGGGGCTACCCTGGAGTGAGGGGGTCTAGCCAGGGAGGAGACCTCTTACTCAGGGATTGGCGGGCTGGACTCCTGGCGACGTGTTGTTTAGGGACCTAGAGACCCTTGGGCATAGAGACCCCGTGGAGGGGCCCCTGAGCTGAGCCCTCATGGGAAGATCAGCTGGAAAGGGTTGGAGGCTGGAGGTCCCAAGTGAGCGCGCAGACTGCTCCGTGTAGGCAAGCGCCAGGGCCCCCATCGGTTCCTGGGTGCCCAGACCCTTGGAAGGCCTCCCGGCCCCCTGGCCCGCTACATCCGTGTAAACAGTGTTCTCCCTTCGGTCAGTCCCGCTCCTCGAGAGGCGCGGAGACCCCGACAGGAAATGAATCCCCTCTAAGCGGCTGCCGCGTTTGCATTACCCAGCTGCCTCATTGGAGGAGCCGACTAAAGACTTTAGAAATTCAAATGAGGCTCTCTGGGGAGAGCGGGGCTTAAACATTCCCCTGCGCAGGCGGCTTTATTGAAGGAATAAACTATATTTGCAAAGTAAGATATTGAGGCTGTCAGTTTCTCTTAGGGATATAATGAGATCCTGGGAGGGAGGGGGGCCAGCAGGATGGAGCTCCCAAGGGCAGGAGCCCCAGCCGAGAGCTGCAGTGGGCGGCCACGAGGGCCAGCAGAGCCCCGCCCACTCTACTACCGGGAGGGGGCCCTCTCCCCTTCACACCTCCCCCAGGAACCCACCTTCCTCGTCAGGGCTCCTAATGGGTGGAGGCTTTTGTGGAGGCAGGAAGATAGAATGGCACTGCTAGGCCAGGAAACCCCCAAAGAGAGCCTTGCCCAGGTCCCCCCCACACACTCAGCTCCCTTCCTATGCCCCTTGGTGGATGGAGCCCTGCTCAGGAGGCAGAAGTAGGGGTGGGGACTCTGGTGTGAGTCTGAGGCTGATCTAGTCTGGGCTAGTTTGTGAGCTGTATGGCCTTGGACAAGTTACTTAACCTCTCTGTGTCTTTGCCATCTCACCTCTGAAATGTTAGTACCTACCTATAGGGTTGTTGGGAGGATTAAATGGACTATCACATATACAGTTTTTGCCATGTAGCTGCTTCGTAAGTGACATTCAATAAAGAGTAGCTGTTATTAAAGTGGGAGGAAGGCACGGCAGAAGGTAGTGGCCAGCCAACCTCCTTCCTCACTCCAGGAGGCCCCACCCTATTCTGACCATCGAAGAGCTACCACTACCACCTCCACCATCACCAGTATCACCACTACCACTGTCACCTCCGCCATCACCACCTCCATCACAGCCATCACAGCTACCTCCACCATCACCATCACCTCTACCTCCACCTCCACCGTCGCCACTGTCACTCAGACACACAGCTCTGAGACTGAAGCCATGGTGCAGAGAGGAAAGAGAGAGTGGAACCGGGTGAGATGAGGAGGCTCCCTGAGGGGGAAGCCTGTGGACCATGTACAACTGGGTACAGTTCTTTCTCTTTCCTTTTTTACCAACTGCTGTGGGTTGAGGTAAAGCTACCCATTTTGGGGAACCAGCAGTTAGCGTAATGGCTATGTCGCTAGATTCCCACGTAGTCGACCACGGTTCGCGTCCCGGACCTGGTGGCTTAAAACTCACGCTGGGCGCGTGTGCGTGCGTGCCCAAGATCCCGAGAGGAGAATGGAGGAGAAGGGATTGCGGCATGGCCATCCCCCCTGGGGGGTGATTTCTCACTTTCTGTCTCTATGTCTCTCTCTGTCTGGCGAGCGCACGCGCTCTATAGCAAAAACCTCTCTCAAAAAAAAAAACAAAAAACCTACCCATTTTGTTTGAGAAGAAAACTAGAGTCCAAGACCAGAAAAAGGCCAGGAAAGCAAGATGACTGAGTCCCTAAGCTCATTGCATCAGAGCCCTGACAAGGAAGAGAGTGGAGGGGTGCCAGCCCCCATCCCTGTGCCTCAGAGTCAGTCGGAGCAGCTGCAGCATGGTGCTCAGGCTGAAGGAGGCCCATGGTCAGATCTGGAAGAGGAGGTGTCAAGTTTAATGGGTCAGGCAGCAGCTGGGCTGTCTGTCACTCTCACTCTGAGGCTGGAGGGGAGATTGGAGTTGACAGTGTACATGGTCAGAGGACAGCAGATACAGAGCCTGCCCCGGTGCCCAGCGACATCTGGGCTCTGGGCCTACACCAGGGCTGTGAGGTGTAATGTGCTGGTGGGCCTTCTGTCCTCTGTAGTGGGATGCCAGCCCCTGGTGATGGGAAGACCTACGAGAACTAGAAGCGCAGAGAAAGCAACCGGGTTCTGCTTCTAACTTCTACGTGACCTTGGACAAATCACTTGACCTCCCTGGACCTCCGTTTTCCATACTGTGACATGTGGGTGATATCATGGTGGCATAGAGAAGGGATGTGCGCTAGGAGTCAAAGGACCCAGAGTTTAAACATCTCACCATGCTTCTAGCTAAGTAACTTGGTATCTCTGGTCTCAGTGTCCTTATCTGCAAAAAGAGGTGGTAACCCTGGGGCATTGCTGTGGAATGAAGTGAACACCACAGGATCTGGCCCTCGGAAGCATACAGCTGAAATCCAGTTCTCTTCTAGCTCTCAAAATCTGAGTATAGGGTTCTGAAATGAGCTATCACCATCTCTACCAATTCTCCCACCACCATTAATACCACCATCTCTATCTCCATCAGCACCAACAGCGTCTCTATCACCATCACCGTCATCACCACCAATACCATCGCCTCCACCTACCACCTCCATCACCCCAACCATCGTTACCATCACCATCACCTCTACCGTCATCACCACCACCAATACCATCATCACCTCCACCTACCACCTCCATCTGAA